TCCTCTTGTAATCTCCTATTTAAGGAGACGCCATTATTGAATGAGGATATCGAATATTCAGTCAAGAAAGAGAGTAAAGGAGAGTTAGGTGATCTTTTGGACAAATCACCTGCAAGATAGTCAAAATAGGGCCTGTACGCAAGGCCAAGGGAAAGGAAAGATCTGAGGTTCCTGCGGGGGAGCGACCCGTGACGCGATCCTATGCTCGGGCCCATAACAATTTTCATGCATAATATTCTTATGATAGGAGGTGTTTCTGCTAAACAGGTTGCTTTGGTTACTGCATATTTCTTCAAATTAAACCTGGCCTCTACATGGCTAATTTGAAATAAAATATTAAAAATCTAAGTAATTACAACAGAGGCAAAATTCTGATAAAATATGGGGTATAGAGATGATGTGTACTGTGGGAGTGGCCTCATTTTAATGTGTAGTGTGGGAGTGGCAAATGGACAAATGTATGTTTAGCTTAAGAAGGAAAAGGCGTTGTACTAGGAGAAAGTTATTCTAGTTGTTTACCTTTTTCAGCACAAATAGGTTGTCAAGTTTTCTAGATAAGTCTTTTTAGTGGGTGTTTTACTTTTACCTATATATTAAAGGAGATTAAATCAGCTCCCCACAAGATTTCCTCCCACAATGTCCCACACTACACATTCTCGAGTATAGAACATCTCCCAATAATAATACCAGTACACGGAAATGTATTGTGAGACATTATATATATATAATATTTTTATTATATATTATTTTCTATATTATTATTATTATTATTATTATTATTATTATTATATGTATATATATACGAGCTCGGTTTGCGAGCCTTATGAGTTGAGCTATATTAGGCTCGAGCTTGATTCAATTATTAAACGAGCTTGTAAATTGGGCTCGAGCTCAGTTCGAAGCTCGGTTGAAACCAAGCCGAGCTCGAATAACTCGTGAAGAGCTTAGCTTGTGGCCATCCATATTGAAATCATCCAACTTCGAGATAGTCATATCATTTTCCATCACCATATCATAGACATCATTGTTTGATCACGATAACCATATGTGTTTCAAAGTCCCCCGTGGCACTAAAGTCTCTTGTGCAAAGTCCATTACAACACCAAAGTCCATCGCGACAAAATATCAATATCTCGTTGGTAATTGCATCATGACATAACATTTGATTTGTGTATTAAAGATTTGATACTTTTTCATTACATGGTGGACTGCTTTAATAATATATATCGCCTAATGAAATAGTGACATTAACCTTATTTTAACCCTAATGAAGTAGTGACATTAACCTTATTTTAACATATATACTTTCTTAATTCTTAGTATTTGATGTATGGTGTATTTGATTGAGGGGTGGTTCACTTAGTAGGTTAGTTGTATTTTTCCGGTTGAGATGCGGATTTGAGTCATGTTATCATTGACTTTAGAGGAAAGTTAGTAATGGGTTGATGTATGTTGGAGTATACAAAATAGGGGTATTTTGGTTATTTGGGTTTTATCTATTTGAAAGTGAAAGGTCTGTTTTATTTAAGTTTAAGTTATGTATCCCATCACTTACGAGGGATAATATGGTCTTTCTTATAACTATATTATTGGAGATAAATACAAGTGGGTCGACTAGAGAGATGACTGATTTTTCCTCTACTGGTCGAACCCTTCTTCTTCTTCTTCTTCTCCTTCTTTTCTACTGTAACCTAGGACTAAATAAGGTTTTAACATGGTATTAGAGCGCATGTAATGAGTTCAGATATGCTCGTCTTGCTCTTTTATTCTGGTTTACCCAATTTTTTTTTATCGCCCTCCTCTATAGGGTTTTGCAGATTTCTCAAGAACCACTGGGAGATTAAGGGAAAGGTTGAAGAGGAGTGGTCATTTTTCTCTGTAGGAGGCCTTCATGCCTCCGGTTTGTGGTGATTGGTAGAAGCTCTCTATTCGGTGGTATGAAGAGAGCAGGTTCGGGTGAACAGTGTTCAACTGGGTACAAGTTGGTTCTACAGAGTGCAATGTAAGTGTTTAGTTTAATGGCTGAGTGATTTCAGCCCTTGTATTTGGTTTGTGAGTGGTTCTGCAGTGTGCAGTACAGGTGTTTGATTTAATGACTATGTGATTTCAGCTTTTGTATTTGATGTGTAATGTGGATTTGAAGAAGTTGGTGGTGCTGAAAGTGAGATAAGTTTTATGGAAGTGCGTGAGATTGTACTGAATATTTGAAGGTGAATACTCTACATATAACAGTGATTTCTTTGTGAGGTAAGGTGAATTAGTTAAGATGGCATCAATTGGAGATGGGAATGACAATAAAATAGGCATTATGATTTCTCCATATTACTTAAATGTTCAAATGACATCTATTAAGTTGAATGGTGAGAATTATGTGCCGTGGGCAAAATCTGTGGAGGTGTTTTTAAAAGCCAAGAAAAAGTAA